AACACACAATTGCCAGACTTGTGAGTGAGCCCAGAAGAATCACCACTGAATCCATCCTAAATTGCTGGTCCACTCATTCATGAACTAAAATTAGTGAGTATGGGGTGGTTTGTTACCCAGCATTATTGCAGTAATTGATAACAAAAGATATCTTTGACCCATCAGGGACAATTTGGAAGGCCTGTAAGAAGAAATTAAATGTCTTGGCTTTCAGGCAATTGTACCTTATACAATTTAACTTAGAAGTTATCCACTAATCACCCACTTGGACATGCTTATGTCCTATTCAAAAATAAATGTAACAGTATTATTTTAAGTAATAATGTATGTCTTTAGGCTTTTAGCTTTGTCCCAAAATGGAGTGCCCTCACACATGGACCACATCCCACCAATGGGAGCAGGTCTCTGTTCCACATGTATAATAGTCTCAAGTGCATTAATGGGGGGTTTTAGAAATAGATCTTTATATGAGTTTGATGAAATTCGGTGATTAAAGATGGAAGCAACATCCCCTAGATACCAATGTAACTTCCTTATGGTGGTTAGAAGGATGTTGATGGAAAATCATAAGTGACTATTTAACTTTACTACAACTAAATAAAGTTAATTCAGTTCCTCATCATACTAGCTGTATAATGAGTGCTCAACAGTGGCTAGTGGTTATAGTGCTGGAAAGCACAGGTACAGAACATTTTCATTATCTTAGAAAATTCTAATGGACAGAGCTGATCTCAGTGCTTATTTTCAAGTTTCTTATTTACAGAATCTTTTCTGTCTAAACTTCTAGTTTCTGCTGCCCATTTGATTCTGACAGCCTCTCACCCTGTTCCCTCTGGGGAAAATGAGTTATTGCTGCCTACGTTGTTTTATCAAACTCAAGCCAGCCTGTTTTGACACCCACATTGTTAAATATTCTCTTTGTTTATAGGCCACAAAGCTAACTATTGAAGCAGAGTCATTATTTATTACCTGTACTGGCAGGGGAGTATTCATTCCACCAGGGCAGAGAGGTTTGGGAGGGAGGGAGGGCAGCTGGGAGAAACCCTGGTTTGAGTTATAAAAACCCCAACAAAACCTGAGGGGACCACAGACACAGGCAATAGGGCAGTGAAGACCTGGGGGGGGGGGGGCGCGGGGGCAGTGCGTAGGGTCTGGGGAGAGGGAATAAAGGGGGTGGGTGGGAGATATCTGTAATACTCTTAACAATGAAAAGAAAAAGAGAAAACAAAACAAAAAACCCCCACAAAACACAATACCCAAAACCAAAATAAAGAAGCCTGAAGGGGGGAAAAAGAAGAAACTGAAGTACAAAAAGAGCCTATTAGGCAAAATCGTGCTCTCTGAGCAGGCTCCTTGAATTTACCCTCCCACCCCACCCCGCCTAGAACTAGCATTTTCTAGAGGACAGGGCCTTCTCCATTCTCTGGTTTCTTCAAGGGGGGATTTTCCTCCAAAGTGATTTCTCCCCAAACCACTCCTGGACTCTCTTCACCTCTTTACTCATTTTGTTGAGGTGACCTTTCTGAGTGTGAATCTGGGAGGTATAAAGTGAGCTTCTTTGTGCCCAGGATATTCCCTGTGAGGGCTCTCCTGACCAGCTTCACACGTAGAACCCTCCCAGGAGCATGGCTGAGAGGTAGGTGGGTAACTCTGCTTTGCATTGTGGGGTTTAGTTGGCAGGCCCATTGGGGTCTCATATAAGTCTTTTCTGTGATCTATGCTTCTATCAGTGATAAAGGCAAAATATTGGTTTCTATCTGCCATTTCTTATCCTATTTCTCAATTTCTTTAGAATTCAAGGAGGGGAGAGAAATGCTGTTTATCAGACCTATAGTGCTTTCGGAGACTGTCCCTTGCTTGTTTTGGGCTGCACCTGTGTACCTGTCCCCAGTTTAGCGTGCGTCTGATCCCCAAGAATTCTTGGATACAAGCATTTCCAAGTAGATGTTTGTGTTGATTCTACTACATGGTGGTGGTGGGCGGGGGACTTCATAAGAGGCTGATGCAGCTTAAACTGAGATTTGAATTAAAAACAGAGTTTTGGCCAAGACCGGTTTTGCTCATCTCCAGTAGGGGTTGTGCAAGAGGCAGCTGATTGATGTCTCTCTCTCATTGATGTTTCTAACTATCTCTCTCTCTTCCTCTCTGAAAAAAATCAATAAAAATATATCTTTAAAAAATAAAAAATAAAAAGAGTTTTGGATAGAATTAGAGGATAGGATACAAAAGCCTTGATTTGGGAAGCTGAAGAATGTTCAGGAGGGGAGTATAAAGCTTCCTTCAGCTGGGCTCCTGCAGGGACATGAGAGAAAAGTCTGGAGATAGGGACCACTTGGTTCTATTTCTCTTCACTTCAAAATAATTTAACATCTTTTTTTTTAAGTTGGAGTATAATTGACATATAACATTATTAGGTTCAGGTCACAACATAATGATTTGAAGTCTAGATAACATCCATTACCATAACAGTTACAAAAACTATTTGTGTGTGATGAATCACTGTAGTTTTAATTTGCATGTCCCCAGTGACTAATGAGGTTGAGGACCTTTCCATGTGCATAGTATCCTTCTGTACTGGGATTCCTTTTTCAGGTGGAAATACCACTGATAAAGGTAGAAACATGAAGGCGACATGTATGGATTATGGAGCTGTGCTCCCCTCTGACAGTCTAAGGCAGAGTGGCAGCTCAGTTGGGGACCTATTTGAATAATTAGGAAGGGCCAAACCCTCCCTTGAGGAAAAACAGATATGGGTGGCAATGGGGCCCTTTTTTCTGTGGGTTGCTCACAGTGAACGTACTGGGAAGTTGCTTCTTCTTCTTTTTAAATCCTCACTCAGGATATTTTCTCTAGAGAGAGTGGAAGGGAGGGAGGAGGAGGAGAGAGAGACACATACATTGATTGGCTGCCTCCCACATGTGCCCAACCAGGTCTGGGAAGCCTGCAACCAAGGTATGTGCCCTGGAATGGGGATTGAACCCTCGACCCTTTGGACTGAGGGCTGATGCTCTAACCATTGAGCAACCAGCTAGGGCTCTGGCCTCTTGACTTTAAATTTTCTATGCAGATACTGGTGCTCTCAGAATAGACTTGGTTTTGGAGGCCACTGGGTTTTGTTTAACTGCTTCTTGTTGATAATACCAGCTCATCCATCATATGCCAAAGATGTGCCAAAGCCTTTTTATTTTTTTTAATTTTCTGCATTCCTCCCAGACAGTACAAAGCTATCAGCAACTCTACTTAATGTATCTTCACTTCTTATAACAGCAGTCTGGCTAGGGAAGGACACAGGCACCAGCTGGATAGAGCTTTCAATGACCAAATCTGGGGCAATTTGCAAGAAAACAAATAATGATGATAATAAATTATGACCCACAGAATAAAACAAATATCCACAAGTTCATATTGAAACAAATACATAATTGAACAAACAAAAAAATGGAGGATAAGGGGCAGCTCTTTCTTATAGTAGAATTCCAATCATGAAAACGGAAGAGAGTGATAGGAATAGAAAATGACTATTTAGCACACATCACACGGATGGACCATGGGTGGATACAGCAGAGATCGGGCTGAAGTATGATATGAAACAGGATATTTGCAAAGTCTCAAAAGGTATTCCCACAAGATACTTATTACAGAGGAAGAAACAGTAACTACAGTGAAAAAATCTAGTAGATACCACCTTGTCAAGTGATCAAGGTCAACATAACCAGCAATGGGACATATTGCTCCCCATCCCCCTGATATATTGCACTGAGAAGGGCACAACAGCAATTTAGTGATATTCCTGCCCCAAACTCCTCATTCTAATCACAAGAAAGCATCAGACAGACTGAAAGTGGGTTCTAGAGTGATTCTTCTGCTGTTGAGACATTGCTACCCTACTTACTAGCTGTGTGGCTTTGGGCAAATAATTTCTCCTTGCCTCAGTTTTCTTATTTGTAAAATGGGGACAAAAGGTAATACCTTCCTCAATGTACCACAATGAAGATTTTAAAATGTTAATTCAGTTGTGGTCAGTGTGTTCAGTGGTAAGTGCACTGACCCTCATACTAAAGGGTCTTGGCTAAATTCCAGTCAAGGGCATGTTCCTGGGTTTCAGTTCAATCCCTGCCCCAGTTGGGGATGTGGGAGGCAACCAATAGGTACAATTGATACAATAAATATGTCTCTCTCTCTCTCTCTCTCTCTCTCTCTCTCTCTCTCTCTCTCTCTCTCTCTCTCTCTCTCCTCCCCTGTCTCCCCCCCTCCTTCCCTTCCACTTTCTTTAAAAATAAATGGAAAATATATCCTCAGATGAGTTTTACAATAACAAAATGCTAATACATGTACAGTGCCTGGAACAATGCCAGAGTAAGGACTATATTATTACCTGCAATTATTATGTTAGACCAGCAGAATCTTCTAATCATCTTAAGGATATTTCTTTTTTATTTTTTCCTCACTCTCACCGTGCTTCTGGAAGCTATCTGAGTGATGCAGGCCCTGTGCCGATTCCTTCTCCAACCAGCTATTTTACTCTAAAAGCATTCCCCCCCTCCACCAGCAGACAGCTAAAGCCAAACCTGGCATCACAATCTATTGCTTAAGGATTATCCACTTTTGAAGGAATCAGAATAACTGCTCTCTCAGCTAAGGTTGCTACTAGGAGATACCTGCATTCTAAAGACAGAGCTCTTGTCACCAAAGAACCTTCGGGGGTCAGTTTCCCTTATTCCCAACCTGTGGTCCAGGCCCTTCTGAGCTTGTGAGATCAATAGCGTTAATTGGTTTAGGGACTGGTGGTATGGATCTGCCTCATAATTACCTGTCTGAGCCCTCACCACATGTCACAGGGTAGCATCTGATTAGCTAACAATACTGCCTCAACACACACAATACAGCCTCATTCCCTGCTTGGGCCTTACCTTTGATGTCACAATCTGACCTGCAGATATTAATCTGGCCACTGCTGCTCCCAAGCCAGATGACAAGGTCAAGAGGACCAGCACAGTAAGATGTGGAAGAGAAATGACCATCAACCCAAGATCAAAACAAGGGATGGACCTCAAGTGGGTCAGTTCAAGGAATCGGGTTCAGCTCTGGAACCTGCCGTGCCACACCCTCTAGAGCTGCCAGAACTGCAGAGCTTCGTGGTGTTTGAGGACATTAGCCACCACATCAAAGAAGCGGGGGCCCAAATGGTGAAGAAAGTGAATGCCATCTTCCAGCTGGACATCACCAAAGACGGGAAGACCATCCTGCAGAGGACCATTGATTTGAAGAACGGCTCTGGGGACATGTATCCAGGATCTGCCAGGCTCCCAGCAGACACTATCTTCACAATCCCGGAACCTGTTTTTATGGAGTTGGTTTTGGGTAAAATAAACCCTCACAAGGCTTTCCTTGCTGGCAAGTTCAAAGTAAGTGGCAAAGTTCTGCTTGGCCAAAAGCTGGAGAAGGTTTTCAAAGACTGGGCTAAATGTTAAGCATGAAAAAAATACCAAGGAAATGATCGGAACTTCTCTTCAGCTAAAATGTTGAATGGAAATCATGCTTAAACTGAAGATTAAAAGAAAAAGTATCCAATATTTTTACTCTAATTCTTCCTATTCAAATTTGATTAATTTTCCTGCTAATATGTAAAATTGCAGTGAGGGTTCTAGAACAGTAAAAAGTGTTGGAGTGGTGTATCACCTAAAATCTTTGTCTTTCTTTTCTTAGATTCATTTATGTTGAAATATGCTAGGGTAAAAGCCACATGTAGAGAAATGGGTTGTTTTGATAGCTGGATTAAAAAAAATCCTCCCCTAAGGATATGTTTTTAAATTGATGAGAGAGAGAGAGAGAGAGAGAGAGAGAGAGAGAGAGAGAGAGAGAAACATCTATGTGAGAGAGAGAGGATTGGTTGTCTCCCATACTCACCCCAACTGAGAATCAAAACTGCAATCTAGGTATGTGCCCTGACTGGGAATTGAACCCACAACCTTTGGTGTATGGGATGATGCTCCAACCAACTGAACCAGGGTGACAGTTGGATATAAATGGTTCAATGATTGAGTTCCTGATTCCTGAGCATTTTTTAAATTTTATTTTAGTGTTTTGGGGAAATAGTGATGACCATCATGGAGTATGTTTGCATTCCAGTTGGTAACTTGGTCTTTGAGGAGATTGGCGGAATTCTAAGGGGGCTGCAGAATTCTAAGACGGTGGGCTCCTCAGCTGTGTGGGTGGAACAAGGCAATAGAGGTGATGGTGTATCATGACTTCTGATGTATTTAATTCTGAGTGAGTTGAAGGGCTTGAATATTATTCCAGGTCACTGTTTCTTAAACTAGAGCATGTATCAGATCACCTGAAGGGCTAGTGAAAACCCAGAGTGCTGGGCCCCAATCAGAGTTTCCACTCTGAAGGTCTGGACTAGGGAGAAGGTCCATGTCTAATAAGTTCCCAGGTGATACTGATGGGTGCATCCTTGAAAAACCCCTGCTCTGGTTCGTGCCACAGCTTCCAGTATTGATTGAAACTGTTCTATTCCAGACCAGTTGTCCTTATTTTAGGGTCTCTTGGAGAGAGATTACATAGTCCTCTTGTGAGTGATTTCTAAAGTGTCAGGAGTTTGTGCACTGAATATTTTACAAAATTGAAGGTCATCTTGGGAGATGTTCCCCTCTGGAAGCCCTCTCCACATATTGGGAGAACTGGAATGAAGCTGTCTTCTGATGTAATTTCCTCATGGTTGAGTATGAGTGTCATTTGTTCCTGTGTGATCTGTGTGTACCTTTATTTGGTAGGCTAAATATATACAGCACAGACACTCTGAAACCCACAAGGAAGTTTTATTAAATTGGTCATGCTCAAACACATGCCTACCAAATGATCCAGCTATTCCATTCTTAGATATTTTCCCCAAGAGGAAAAGGTACGAGTACAAAAATATGTTCATGCTATCATCGTCCCAAACTGGGAATAAACCAAATGTCCATCACAGGTGAATGAATGAACAAATTGTGTTATGTCATACCATGGACTACTACTCAGAAACAAAAAGGAATGAATTACTGATATGTGCACAACAACACAATAGAATGCCAAAATAATTATGCTAAAAGAAGTCAGAGAAAATCAAGTACATACAATATGATTCTATTTAAGTAACATAGTAGAAAATGCAAACTCTAGTGACAGAAAAAAGATCAGTGGTTGCCAAGAAAGGAGGATGGGAAGTGGGAAGGGAGAGGGGATTTACAAATGGCCATGAATAGTCTTGAGGTGATGGGTAGATTCATTATCTTGATTGTGGTCATGGTTTCAAAGGTATACATAGGCCAAACAGCAAACTGTACACTACATACACATAGGCAGTTTATTAAGTGCCAAGATAAGCTCAACAAGGCTGTTTTAAAAATCTGCTGCTCTCCATTCAAAATGAAGGCTTTATAAAGAGGACTTAAAATCCTACCCCTTCAGCACAAGGATCCTCTGATCTCATTATACACCTGCCTTTCTAACCCCTTACTGATTTGGGTGGCTCTGCAGAGGCCTTCCTGAGTTCTCCAAGTCAGAAGGAGGCAGAGAGAGGGCTCACTGCTAACACAATCTCAATCTCTTAGTGGGAAAGGAAGAGACCTTTTGTTCAATTGGCATTCAACTTCGTGGCAAGACATCGCTGAGGGTTTGTGAGGGGGGACATGGAGCTCCATGGTTTCTTTGCTCACCTGGGCCATTCTGTAGGTGATCCATGATGGTGTGAATGCTTGCTTTGTCTGGTGCAGGGACTCTAGTCAAGCCATGTTTATGAGTATCAGGCAAGGCTGGGCAGGTGTTCAGGATGCTGTTTTTGAGAAGTGGCTTCCTTGAGTGGTTCTATTCAGTCCATGAGTAGCCTTTGTGGATTGACCCTGAGGCATAAGTTGCTTATGGATAGATGAGAGGGTGGAGAGGAATGGGTGGAAGGTCAGGGTTACAGAGGGTCATGCCTGGGCTGGCATCTGACCAAAGGGAGGCTCACCCCATAGGCTGGCCAGTGATCCATTATGACTTGGAACAAAAACACAAACCGGACCAATTAGATTCCTTTCTCAGGAATTTGGAAGTTGAGAGGCTGAGCTACATGAGCAGTGGGGTTGGAGTCTGAAAGGCTGGGATGTAGGAGGGGGTGAAGGAGGTGCTGTGGGGATGGATGGGCAGCTACCATGGTAGGAGCTGAAGAGAAGGAAGAACAGAGGCCTTGAATAAGGAGAGAGAGCTGGTTAATTGAGGGAGAAGAGGCCAGACCTTGTGAAACACAACGGCAAACTCCTTTTCAATGAAAAGGATGAAATTGCTTGATGGGGGATGCCACGTGGAGTGGATTGTAGAAGCCAATGTAGTTTTTAGTCCAGTGTCAGCACTTCATATCCATGTAATCACAAGTCATGGTTGAGCCACTCAGCACCTTAGCTGCCTTGCCTGGAAATGGGGCCAGCAGCCCTTATAACATCAAGTTGTTGGGAGCTCCAAATAGGTCACATCTGGAGTCCATGGGATTTCCATGAATGTGAATTCCTTTCTCTATTTGGATGAGAAAAAGGGAGGACTTTCACTGGCTCCCTACTGTTTCCCGAAAAAGCCACACTCGGCTTTCACTGTGTTCTGGAGACCTTTTGCCTTGTCTCTGACACTCAGTTGATGCCCTAGAAGGTCACATATAACTCAAAACCCACATCCCTGTGATAGTTGGTCTGCCCGCAGAATGTTTATAAAGTTTGGATGAGGATATTTTATATGAGAATTGGAATTTATGGGTTTCCTTGAAAAAAAAAAAAAAAAGGAATTATTTGGCCATTCTGAGCTCATAGTCTTGCCAGTCAATAGTTTGGGGAACACTGCATTCAGGCCCACCCACACCTTCCATGCTGCCTCTTTGGCTCCCAGCCTGGGTCAGGGTGGCCCTCCTTAATTGAGCTTACCGCTGTTCCTCTATCTGGGTCTGCTTTGCTGGGCCCCATAGGTGTTTACATTCATGACCACAGCTGCCCCTTAGCGAATCTTACTCTTCTCCCTAACTCAAATACCCTGTGTTAGTTTTTCATTTCTGTGTAACAAATTACCACGCAGTTAGCCCCTTAAAACAGCACGTGTTCTTTGTCTCACAGTTGCTGCAGGTCAGAAGTCAGGTTTAGGTTCAGCCGGGTTTTCTGCTTTGATCTCATGACACAGCCTGAAACCAAGGTGCTGGCCTGGCTGGGCTCTCATCTGGGGAGTTGAGGGAAGAGTGTGCTCTGAGCTCATTTGAGTTGTAGTCTAATTTAGTTCCTCGAGTTTATAGGACTGGAAGTCACGCACAGTTACTGGCTTCTTGTGTGTCCTTCCAGTATGTACTCATGGGCCCCCATGTGTATGTTCTACCTCTCTTTTTTTTAGTTGCCCACAGAATCTACTTTCCACCTTGCATTTTAACTTATCACAAAAATTAGGGATATCTTTCCTCTTCCACGAATGCCTGCCTGAAGGGTCAAAGGGTGGACTTGATTTATACAACTGAAACTTCCCAACTTTCCTGTGTCCTTTAGGGAAAATCTCTTGACAGACTGCTTTATAAGAGGAGGGTGCAAAATAAATCCCTCTTCCTTGGAGATGGGATTTATTTCTCCCCCTTGTGAGAGCAGTCCTGCCAGTCCTTGGTGTCCCAGGAACATGCCTTTGCTCAGGTCTTCTCCTGACTTTTGTCTTCTGGGCTTCCATCTGCCCAAGGCCCAACTGAGAGTGCTTGGTGTGATGGGCCTGAGCTGGAGGATTCTGAGGACCCTGCAGACACTGGGCTCTTTCCACCTGGGACCCTCGGGGTTGCCAGACATCTGAGATGGGACCCTTGCTTTATGTATGAACTGTAGACACAGAAATGGGGTGGTGAGGGCTGGGGGGAGCATGGGAGCAGGCTGGAAGAGGTTAATGAGGGAAAAAGAGGACCTATGCAATACTTTCAACAATAAAGGTAAAAAAGGCAGACTTCAGACAAATGATTAAAACTTAAAAAACAAAACAAAAACAAAGTAGGAATCAACTGACCATAGTATGTTAGAGGTTTAAGGCCCCTGTGCCCTACTCATGCAGGAGGGCAATGACTCAGCTGTAGCAATATCCGTACCAGCAAGCACACTCATATAACCTGCCTGTTAATGTAGCATGGACGTCACTAATTGGCATGAGGCCTCTTTTGTTTGAGCGTGTATATAAGTTGCAGCTGACGAGTGAGTGTTTGGCTGCTTTGTTCCTAGTAAAGCATGTCCCACCTACTTGCTATCACCATTTTTTCTTCCAGTTTTCTGCTCCCAGAGGGGTCAAGTCCCTGGCTGAGGAACTTGTCCCTAAGAGGCCCATATGCTGGGTTTTGGAGAGAACTGACAGCAGGAAGGAAGCCCGCATGTCATAGAGTCCTCACAGGTGGCACTGGCAGATCCTCTCTTTTACTTTCGTTTGGGGAAAACACACACACATTTCTTTCAGA